CTCCTTGCAAACTCTTCTGGCTCTTTGCTGCCCCATCCTGCTCTTTGCTGCCCTTCCTGCTCATTTCTATTCCTTCATACTCCTCCTATTTTACCTTTGCGCTCCTTCTGCCCCTTCCAGCTCCTTGTTGTCCCTTTCTGCTCTTTCTCCTACTTTACCTTTGTGCTCCTTCTGCCTCTTCCTGCCCCTTGCTGACTCTGTCTGCTCCTTGCAGACCCTTCCTTCTCATTGCAGACCCTTTCTGTCCCTTAATGCTCCTTGCTGCCCTTCCTGCTCCTTGCAGCCCCTTCCTGCTCCTTGCTGACTCTTTATGCTCCTTGCAGACCCTTCCTGCTCCTTGAAGACCCTTCCTACTCCTTATTGCCCCTTCCACACCCTCCCTGCCCCTTTGTGCTCCTTGCAGACCCTTCCTTCTCATTGCAGACCCTTTCTGCCCCTTAATGCTCTTTGCTGCCCTTCCTGCTCCTTGCAGCCCCTTCCTGCTCCTTCTGCCTCTTCCTGCCCCTTGCTGACTCTTTCTGCTCCTTGCAGACCCTTCATTCTCATTGCAGACCCTTTCTGCCCCTTAATGCTCCTTGCTGCCCTTCCAGCTCATTGCTGACTCTTTCTGCTCCTTGATGTCCCTTCCTGCTCATTTCTGTTCCTTCTCCTTTCTGCTCCTTTTCTTACTTTACCTTCCTGCTCCTTGCTGACTCTTCCTGTATGCTGCCCCCATCCCTCATTTACCTGATTTGTAGGCTGCCCACCCATCCCTCACTTACCTGATCTTTATGCTGCCCCCATCCCTCACTTACCTGATCTGTATGCTGCCCCCCATCGCTCACTTACCTAACCTGTAGGCTCCCCCCATCCCTCACTTACCTGATCTGTAGGCTGCCCCCCATCCTTCACTTACCTGATCTGTAGGCTGCCCCCATCCCTCACTTACCTGATCTGTAGGCTGCACCCCCATCCCTCACTTACCTGATCTGTAGGCTACCCCCATGCTTCACTTTGTCCACCCTGTGGACGCCCATGGCAGCATTCCTCCTCCTCCTCCAAACACAGCGAGTTGAGTTGATGCCAAAGAGCTCCATTTTGGTCTAATCTGACCACAACACTTTCACCCTGTTCTCCTCTGAATCATTCAGATGTTCTTTGGCAAACTTCAGACGGGCCTGTATGTGTGATTTCTTAAGTAGGGGGACCTTGTGAGCACTGCAGAATTTCAGTCCTTCACGGGGTAGTGTGTTACCAATTGTTTTGTTGGTGACTATGGTCCCAGCTGCCTTGAGATCATTATCAAGATCCTCCCGTGTAGTTCTGGGCTGATTCCTCATCGTTCTCATGATCATTGAAACTCCACGAGGGAGACTGACAGTTATTTTGTGTTTCTTCCATTTGCTAATAATCACACCAACTGTTGTCACCTTCTCAACAAGCTGCTTGGCGACGGTCTTGTATCCCATTCCAGCCTTGTGTAGGTCTACAATCTTGTCCCTGACATCCTTGGACAGTTCTTTGGTCTTGGCCATGGTGGAGAGTTTGAAATCTGATTGATTGATTGCTTCTGTGGGCAGGTGTCTTTTATACAGGTAACGAGCTGAGAATAGGAGCACTCCCTGTAAGAGGACACCTGGGAGCCAGAAATCTTGCTGATGGATCAAATACTTATTTCACTCATTGACATGCAAATTAATTTATAACTTTTTTGACATGCGTTTTACTGGATTTTGTTTTTGTTATTCTGTCTCTCACTGTTAAAATACACCTACCATTAAAATCATAGACTGATCATTTCTTAATCAATGGACAAACGTTCAAAATCAGCAGGGGATCAAATACTTTTTACCCTCACTCTATATATCAGTGTTACTCATACAAACCTTTAGAAATGATTCTGATGGGTTCTAATTCAGAGGTATTTTTTCAAGAGTTAAAGGATAGTAAATATAACATTCCACCTCCTAAATCTTGCCTCTAATCACCCCCAAATATCCAAAATGCCTTTAATAATTGAGACTTCTGTCTAGTCAACACTAGGTACTGCATCTCTGACTGCATCGGTAGTAACCGGTGTACACAATGTATGCAGTCATGCAAAGCATGAACTTTATTCCTTAAAATTAAATTATGTCGTCCAAACTCTTCACACAAGGTCAAATCCTCACTCCTCTTGGCACTTGTCTGATACTCTACTGCTTCAGTGAGCACTATTTACAGGAAAGACACAGCTAGGACTTTTTCTATAGCCTTCCATCAGCTGCCCTGACAAGCTACTTGTCTCTAATGAAGTTTGAATTCACTGCTTTGGAGTCAATATAAACTCTTTATCAAAGGGAACGAGAGGCTGCAGCCTGACAGCTGTCTGTGTCCTGGACTCTTTTTAATTGCTGGTGAAAGGGTAGGGAAAAGGGGGGCAGATCAATTTAAAAAGGACAATTGTCCTATTAAAGCAAACCCCCTCCTTCAGCCCTGTTGCAGTAACAATGGTTAGAGGGCTGTTTGGATCCCTTGTATAAACAAGCATTCTTTCAGGCCTTTGTGTGTAATGGGTTTCATTTAGCTCAAGGGGCAATTTTGTAAAATATACATAAGGGAAAGACACTGAAAAGTGGCCAGTCTCCATTTCACTACAATTTGAATATATGAAGTGAGCAGCTTTCATTTGCCTTTTTGTAATAACTTTATTTCTCATATGTGCATTGTACAATCCTGCGGAATATGTTGGGAGTTTATCAATAATAATAATAATAATAATAATACAAATATTTATTTCACAATTGAGGAGTTGTGTTGGAGAAGGATTGTTTACCTGGTTTTCTTTTTTAATATGTACATTGAGCAAAGTGCTTAAAGTGAATAGAAAGTTATGGCAGTTGTGGTTGGCTTGAGAGAGCATGCTGCTTAGATGACATGGGAGATTTTTACTATTGGAGATTCTATACATATATATAAACAAAAAATTGATAGTACACAAGGACTTGAACTTTGTTATAATAATAAAACTAAACTTTTATTTAATGACGTTCCAGTTTTCCATTTAAAAATTTCATCAGGACCAAAAGGTTTGCACTTGTGGACAGACAAAATAACAGCGTTGGTTCGGTGCTTAGACCCAGCAGTTGTAAAAACAGAAAAACATTAAAAAATGGATAGCACTCTAGACCTTAACTTTTATTTATTGACATTTTAGTTTTCCATTTAAAACTTTCAGCAAGACCTGATTGATATTTACCACAGTGATGGCTGTTATGTTTTATAATTATATCATGTTTAGAATGGGTTCACTGAAATTATATCATGTTTAGAATTGGTTTCCTGAAATAACAAATGAATAAATACAGTATCAAAGTTGTATTTAATAACATTTTAGTCTTCATTGAATAGCTTTGTTGGTATCTGAGTAACTCCTTAACTGCAAATCTCTGTGTAAAGTCAGTTTCATCTCAATCAAATGACCTGGGTGCAGTGGTCCTGCCATTTTAACCATTCAAGGTAAAACATTGCCATTTCTGACATGGCAATGTTTACCTTGAAGTATTACCTTTTGCTGTTACACTGACAGCCACTAGAGGCACTTCTGCTGCAACTTTGCAGTTCCAGAGAACTCATTGCAGCTCTAAGTCTGCCCTTTGTGGCTAACAGGCAGCCGCTAGAGGGCTTCCAGAATCCAAACTGACTTTTGGCCCGTTATCTGATGCTAGACGTCCTCACGGACCTCCAGCGTCAGATTTTCCCCATAGAAAAGCATTGAATAATGCTTTCCTATGGGGAGGTCTAATGCGCATGTGGCCATTGCCGCGCATGCGCATTGGGTCTCCCCCGCCGTCTGCTGTCTGTGGGGGAGGAGAGTGGGCGAAGCCCGACCCAGTGCTAAAGGACATCGGTGCTGGATTCAGGTAAGTGGCTTGACACTCCAGGAGCGTATAGTACTAGAAAAAATGGCTTTCTTTTCCAGGCACTATAGGATCCCTTTAACGGGAAGCTTGAATGTTAGCGTGGCTCTCGCTAAACATGCGCATCAGTTTTTCAATCAATTCTTTGTCTCCTATTATTCCTACTATTTAATATAGATTACATGCTGCAGACACACTAATCATCCAGTCTATCTGATGCTAAACTGGCATCAGATAACAATAATATATATCCTAATTATCATTGTCCTTCAAATGACGGTAGATAGTGAGCTAAAGTAATGCAATTGCCACAGGCAATTAGCCAATCATTTTAAATATATTCATGATTTTAGGAACCCTCCAGTCTAAACTGATCTGTTTTAGGATTCTGCTGGGAGCAGTTGGTTGGTCTGATTGTCTGAGACACTGTTAGTGACCCAATCTGCACTGCTTCGAGTGGGATCAGTGACCCATTGATTCTTGTTTTTAAGTTCTATCATTAAGAAGGAATCATAACCTTAAAGATTTGCTCTCACTTCCCATAATTTTTCAAATTAGGTTTAGTTATGCCCTATATTTAACAGATATGCATTTATAAGGTATGGAAATTAAAAGTAAATATAAAACTACATCACACCTCATTATCCTGAAACTGGGTACCTCCATCTTAGCTTTCTGTCAATCATTGTGTTTATTATTGTTATATTGCTGTGCCTTTTGTGCCTGCCAGTTAGCGTAACCCCTTATGGACGGAGGCAATTATCCAAGTTCTGAAACAAAACAAAACTTGGAATTTGGGCTATATGTCTATTCACCCATAATTTACCTCTTTCACACACACTTATTATATATAGTTTTGTACAGGAGAAACGCGGCTTCCATTTGACATCACATGAAACATAATTGAAAAAGAATAAAATCTAAAAAGTGAGAAATTAAGAAATGTAATTTTCCAAGTTCTGCATGGCATTTTAACCGTGGGGCTGTATGGTGTTTTGGAAAGTTACAGGGTCAAATATAGGATTTTCATTCAAAGTGTGTATTTATTTAATATTTTTACATAATCATATGATTGTATTCAGGGCCGGCGCTACCATTAAGGCGAATAAGGCATTCGCCTAGGGCGCCGGCCTCTAGGGGGCGCCCACCGAGAGGTTTCCCGGTGGGCTGCCCTGCTGTAGCTGTCCGGGGATGCTGTGCTGGACGAGCGTCTCTTTAGCCACCCCCCAGCGCAGCCACTCACCTGCTGGGCTCCCTCTGCAGCAGATTACCTGCTTGGGCAGTGGGGTTTGCTGTAACCCGAGCAGAGCACTGTGCTTCCTGCAGGCAGGGGGAGCCTGTGAACACCGGAAGCACTGTGAAGGGAGCAGGAAGCAGGCTGTGCTCAAAGTGCATGGCTCTCCTGCTCCCCCAGGAGAAAGAGCAACATCCTGGATCCTACAGCCTGGACCTCTGCTCAGCATAGCACCCAGGTATGGCATGGTTAAGGGGGATTGCTTATTGTGTGCATGTTTGTAAATGGGGGAGTGTGTTAAATTGGTGTGTTTGTGTGTGTAAATAAAGTGTGACCTTATGTAAAGTTTGTGTTTGAGTGACAGTGTGTGTGTTAGGGAGAGTGTGCAAGTGACTCTCTGTGTGTGTGTATGTGTGTGTGTGTGTGTGTGTGTGTGTGTGATAGTGAGAATGTGCAAGTGACTCTGGGTGTGTGTGTTAGGGAGAGTGTGCAAGTGACACTGTTAGTGAGTATGTGTTAGGCAAAGTGTACAAGTGACACTGTTAGTGAGTATGTGTTAGGGAGAGAGTGCAAGTGACAGTTACTGAGAGTGTGCAAGTGACACTGTTAGTGAGCATGTGTGACACTGTGTGGTGTTAGAGTGTGTAACTGACAATGTCTATGCCAGTGAGAGTGTGTAAGTTAGAGTGTGTGTATAAGTGAGAGTATGTAGGTGACACTGTGTGTGTTAGTGAGAGTGTGTAAGTGACACTGTGTATGTTAGTGAGAGTGTGCAAGTGACAATGTGTAGGTCAGTGAGAATGTGTATGTGTTAGTGTGTAAGTTAGAGTTAGAATGTGTAAGTGTGTATGCCAGTGAGAGAGTGTGTGTATTAGTGAGATTGTGTAAGTGACACTGCAAAAGTAATTATTGCAATTTTTAAGAAACTTCAATAATTACCATTCAGGGTTAACTCCTCATGGGGACGTCCAGTCACGGAAATACCACTGTGAGCGCGGCCATTGAGGAGCTAAGGCGGACCCAAGCCAGCACAAAAGACATTGGTGCTGGACCCAGGTAAGTGACAGAAGGTGTTTTAACCCCTGCTGCACCACGAGGGGGGATGCGCTTGACGGAGGGGGAAGCTATAGTGCCAGGATAACAAGTTTGTTTTCCTGGCACTATAGTTTCCCTTTAATATCTACTCAGTGCGCATCTTTCCCTAAATGTCTCTTTAGTGTAATTCAGAGTTTAGTGAATAAACTTCTGAGGGAATGTAGTTGCATTCATAAGGGGGCGTCAAAATGTATTCTTGCCTAGGGCAGCAAGAATCCTTGCACCGGCCCTGATTGTATTCACTGAATGTTGGGGCATCTGCCTGACAACTCAAGCAGTCCCCCTACAGGCAATCTTGCAATCCGGCCAATATAAGCTGGGGAGGGGGTGAGGGGAGCACCATAGGTTACTATAGTACTAGGGATAAACTTTGTATTCCTAGCACTATAGTTTACCTTTAATTAAGCAGTTTTGGTGTATAGATCATGACCTGCAGTCTCACTGCTCCATTCTCTGCCATGTAGGAGTTTAAATCACTTTGTTTGTATTTAGGGAGCCCTAGCCACACCTCTGCTGGCTGTGACTGACACAGCCTGCATGAAAAAAACTGGTTTATTTTTAATAAGACATTAACTTGCTTTAGAAGTTTTTTATCTTCTACTTTGTAAATTGAACTTTAACCAAACACAGGAGGCCCTGGGGTGGTGGAGACAGAGAGGCACTATAGTGTTAGGAATACAGCTTTGCATTCCTTTATATATTAAATCTTGTAAATCGCAGAGGAGACCTCATTGGAGAACCATGCTCTGTTCCTTACAGAGCTTAAACTCAATGTACACACTCTTAAGAAACGGCAGGCACTATTAGAGAAATTAGAAAAAGAGAAAAAAGTGCACTGTGCCTTTAAGGATAGTGATTCATGTGTACATCTTTGTGCGTATTTTATATACATAAAGTGCAAAAGCAGGTCATAACGTGCAAAATCAGAATACACTATATAATATAGTGTATCTTCCAACAAGTGTCCATGTGATACAATATATAAAAAAGAACACTTACATAAATGATTTGAATATATCTTCCCAAATATTGGGTGGCTCAGACCAAAAGAAGAAGAAAACAAAAAGGATATGGAAAGAAAAAATGATATAGTGTAAATCTGTGGATAAAACTCAGGAAAGTAAAAAATAAACCAATCAACTCACAAGAATGGAGCAGTAAAAGTCTGCTCTCACTGTGATAGCCTAGATATATAAGGATGCAGGACCACGATTTCACAGGCAGGACGGCAGCTGGATGAAATTCAAGCCTTTATTGGTAGCAGAAAAAACATTAAAATCACGAGCTCAATCTCTGTAGCACCAGTCCTCAGACCCTCCTGACACGCTGGCTAGCACTTGCGGTCTTTACGGGCACCGGAATGGCGTGTAGATCTCTCAGGGAATACGAGCTTCTTTTAGTGTGTCCTGACGTCGTGCGACTGAAAACGTGATGACGCGTTTCGCCTAAGCGGCTTATTCAGATCACATTCTGGGTTTGGCATCTGTGTCAATTTTATATCCATTCAATTCATATATAATTACCAGATTAATTGAGTTGATTGGTCCTTAATGAATCTTTTAATGAAAAACTAAAGAGGCACATCGCCTAAATGTCTCTTTCTTTCTGGATTCAAAACAGATATCCATACAGCCTACTAAAGATAGTAATTTATATCTATATACACTTTTATTTATAGATTAAACATATTTCTTAAAGGAGCATGACATATTATTAAAGCATTAAAGCATAAGTTTAAAAATTATTAATAGAGAAGATATTGTATCCAAAGGAACATTACTAAGAACATACTTTAAAAACATACTTAAAAAACACTCGTCATCTCAAAGCACATTACATTGAAAATATTTAAAAAACATACCATATTACTAAAAATGGAGTTCATTTAAAACCACATTGTATTTAAAGGGGCATAACATACTAAAACAGAATTTCTTCTGAAAGCTTGCTAAAAAGGCATTTTGTAAAAAGAAAATAATAAATAATAATATAATTTCACCTACTAGAAAAGGAAAGAAAAGGAAGAAAAATTAATATAGCAGTATTTTATAAAAAGGTAAACAAATCAAATTCAATATTCGATCCTTTAGGTTATAGAGTCTGCAGTTTATGAACCAATTTCATCTCTTCTTTTCCTATATCTAAGACATGATTCCCTCCTCTCCATGATTTGTTTACTATTTGAATACCTAACAAGGTTAGCCCACTTGGATCCTTTTTATGGCATCTTTTAAAATGTGCAGACACACTATGTTGTTCAAAACCTTTTTTAATATTGTTAACATGTTCATAGATACGTTTATGAAGAGGACGAATCGTCCGACCAACATATTGTAGCCCACATGGACAGATTAAGAGATAAATAAAATTTCTACTAAAACAAGTTATAAAATCATTAACATAAAAGTCCTCTTGTTTATATTTAGTTTTGAATGTATTTATACCTTTCAAAGTCCTATTTTTGCTACACTTGCAGCGTACACACTTCCCACAAGAATAAAAACCTTTTTTGTTAGTGCTTAAAAAAGTTTGAGGTATTTCTGCTTTAGGGTGATTAAACGTTAACATTTGTTTTAGGTTCGGGGCTCCTCTAAACGTAATGGCATGTTTATTTGGAATTATATTAGCCAATTCCTTGTCCTTTTTCAAAAGGTGCCAATGCTTGTTGATAATATGTTTAATCTTTTTACAATCATGGTTAAAAATCGAAGACCAGAGGTACTGAATTAAAATCCATACTCTTGTTTTCTTTATAAATAATACTCTCCTGGTCTAATATTTTAACTTCTTCCAATGCTTTAGTTAGTAATTCGTCAGGATATTTTTTCTGTGAAAGTTTATCTAAAATGATAGTAGCTTGTTCCTCAAAGACTTCTTTCTCCCTACAATTTCTTCTTATTCTTTGTAGCTGCCCTTTTGGAATGTTATTCAACCAGGATGTTTAATGCCCACTGTTGTATAGGACATAACTATTAGCATCTACCTTTTTAAAATAGCTTTTAAAATACCACTATCTATATAAATATCTAAATCTAAAAAAAATAATGTTGGTAGTACTAAATTAACTATTTAGTTGAATGCCCCAATTATGTTTGTTTATATAATTTTAAAAAATCTCTAAATTACTCTGTGACCCTGTCCAAATAAAAAATAAATCATCAATGTATCTATGGTACGTGACCAGGTCAGTCCCCCATGCTGGGCTATTAAAAATAATTTCTTCTTCAGGAGGCGGAGCCTAACCTTCAATGGAGTAAGACGCACGGGCCTGCAGCTCTCCCGCCCCGGCCGAAATACCCGCGCACATCAGCCGGCTACCAGGTGCATCTCGCCCCCAAACGCCTCCCACGGGCCCCCAAAGACCCCATACACCTCTTACCAATGGGGGGAAACAAAAAACGGAAGGAATCCACGCCGTCGGTGGCGACGATGTTTCGCGCCAAAGAAGACGGGCGGCCATCTTTGGCCCACAGCCAGGCAGACTCCGGCTCAGACTCAGAGGGGAGCGAAGCAGAAAAAACCCCGGCCACCCCCCTCACCAAAGAGGACCTCCGGGCCATGCTCAGGGAGACATCAGCAGACATCAAAGCCTACACTGCAGCAGCCCTGGAGAAACAAATCACAGGCCTCAAGAAAGAGCTGGAGGTACTGACCTCACGAACAGACCACAATGAACGCCTGATAAAGGACACCCAAACAAAAACCACAGCCCTCCACAAGGACACAGAGCTCCTGCAAGACAGAATGCTCTACCTTGAAGACGGACTGGAGGACCTCAATAACAGATCCCGCAGACAAAATAAACGCATCAGGGGCATACCTGAAACAGTCCTTCCAGACGCCATTCTCCCCACAATCAAAGCAATCTTCCAGTCCCTCCTCCCTAACGCCTCAGATCAAGAATTATACATAGAAAGGGCACACAGAGCCCTGCGTCCCCCAACCTACAACCCCAACACACCACGGGATATCATAACGAAACTCCTATACTTTCCAGTCAAAGAACAGCTTATGAAAGCGGCAAGAGCCCACCAGCCTACCTACCAAGACCAACAAATACACTTCTATCAGGACTTAGCACCGACCACACTGAAGAAACGCCGGGAGCTCAAGCCCCTTACCACAGCCTTGATCGAAGCCGGATGGCGCTACATGTGGGGACACCCCTTCAAATTGTCGGCGAAAAAGGGGGAACAATCATTCACCCTCCATCAGGTAGCAGATATGCAAGACTTTGCCGACCATCTTGGGATAACCTTACGCTACCCAGCACAAGACCCCAACCAAGCCACGAAAGAGACTGCGAGCCGCAGAGGAGGGCCCCATACGCTCCCAACACGCCCGCAACCTAAGCGAGGGTCCCCGCCAACGCAATCAGAGCAAGACGACATGAACACCTGATAGACTCAAAAGACGGCTACTGGCACCAACCCCATACCGGGAACCTGAAACCAACCCAAGGCCGCAAACCACGGACTCTAAAAGACTGGTAGTATGCACACCACAATGTTACCCTAATGTTATCTCAATGTTATCTCAATGCTGTATATAGTTAAAATACACCCGTTATACTTGAATGTTTATCTGAGCGTACTGCCGGGCCTAGGACCCGATACACCCCCAAGGCTGAACACCCGTAAGCCGTAGACAGTGCCCATACGACGCAATAACCGCACGCAGGGGTTAACTAGTAGACCCCGCCGCACAATCTTGAGATAGGATACTGCAGGTTAGCTATGGCAGCATAGGCAACCCCTCTGGAAGGTACGACCAAGGCCCTCAGGGGCAACACACGACCCCCCCCAGATAGTTAAAAAACAAATCTCCCACTGCAAACCAACAGGTACTCAACAACCAAGCCTGAATTATCATGCTAACATATACTACGTAACGAAGCACAAAATGCCCCCGAGTAGACAGGGCACTCAGGGACTTCACACCACCTCAGAGTGGCGGACAGCACCCCCCTCAGCCGCACGGTTGGACCACCCACGACGTCTCCCACGAGAGGCCATGGGTCGCCTAGCAGTATACATGTCTCACAAGCACGCCAAAGCTATACTTAGTTCAGTTTCACCTGTTACGCTAACATATTACCCGGTGCGCACAGCTAGCCCCAGTCCCCAACTGAATCTCAGGGCCACAACCTGTAGACTGTCACAGGAGGCCCTAAGCTACTACACCTAGACCTAAGGGACTAAATGCAGACCCCGCTACTAGCCACAAGCACTG